TTTCTCAGGGCTGGGCTCCCTTTCATTTTCCGGGTCGGTTTCCGAAGACGGGGAGCTGGGAGAATGCACTTTGGCCTTGCGCTTCTGCTTCTCTGTTTTCTCTTTTTCAAGCTTCTCTGGCTTCTCTTTCCTCACCAGGCGCTTGTCCTTCTCCGGCCGCTCTTGTTCAAAAGCACGTTCTTTTTTGGGGTTTTCGTTTTTGGCGTATCGTTCAAGGCGGTTTTTGTCCAGTTTGTCGTAGCGTGGCGGAGAAAGGGAGCTGCAGCTTCCACTGCGCTCAGATGAGCAACTGTAGATCCGCCTCTCGGAGTCGCTCTGGAACTGCTCTGATTGCGAGGGTGAGGCGCTGGGGCTCTGCGACAGCTGGGAGTGAGCGGGGCTTTGGCTCCTTTCCAAGGGCCTCCTTTCGTGCTCTCGGTCAGACTCAAACCACTCACGCTGTCGGTAGCTGTACTCCCTGATGTCTTGCTCGTAAGTGTCTCCCCTGTAGTCTCGGTATTTCCAGGGATCATCATAATACCATGGGTCGTAATAGTCTCCCTGATAAGGATCCCAATCGGCGTAAAAGTCCCTGCCTCGAACCGGGTATTCTCTCCGAGGGACTTCTGGATACGTCCCCGGTGTCCGGACAGCCTTGTAATAGGTACGATCTGCAGCATAATCATAGGAGCCTCTCCTTTCATCCCTGCCAAAGCCAGAGGGGGAGGGGGGAAAGGTTAGCTGACACTTCACAGGATGTCATGTGCAAATTGATCACGGTTCACATAGATTCAAGTGAAGGCAGCTTAAAAGGGAGCAGGGTTTTAAAGAAGAGCTCATCCCACTCTTTTTTTATATATATATTAAAAGTTTTTATTTTTAGACAGACATAGACAAAACCATCTTCAATTACATGTTTTACAGATGGCACCTGCTAAAATCTCAGCAAATACCTCTCCAAAATGTTGGAAATGTGAATCAATACATGGAACATATTACCACTTATGGTAGACTTGTGAGATGGCTAAAAAATTTTGGAAAAGGATAAAAAATTGGCTAGAGGCAATAACAGGAGTCAAAATAGATTGGGAACTCAAAGTTTTTTTTACTAGGAATAATGACTGCAAAATAAAATTAAAAAATCCAGTATTTAATTTTACATATAATTATGGCGGCAAGGATTGCCTTCTCTCAGAAATGGAAAAACAAATTAATTCCAAGCAAGGATGAAATAATAAGAAAGGTTGTGGATTGTGCTGAAATGGACAAATTAACAAAAGAAATCCAAGAAAAAGAAGAAACAGAATACTACCAGATATGGGATAAATGGTATACAGTTGCAAGAAAAAGTATGTGAACCCCTTGGGATTACATGGATTTTTGCATGAATTGGTCATAAAATGTGCTCTGAAATTCATCTAAGTCACAACAATAGAAAAACACAGTCTGCTGAACATAATACTACACAACCATTAGCATTAGATGCTGCCAT